AAAAAAAAAAAAAAAAAAAAAAAAAAACTTTCCTACACTTTCCATTTGTTTCAATTCTTTTTTATTATGATCTTAGGACAGTTGGCCCAGGCCCAGTGCCAGGATGGCATAACTAGGACGGCATTTCAATCCCATGGGTTGGCGCCACTACTTATAATGTGCCATGACAAAATAGACACGGACGTGTCCGCGCGCACACATACAAAAGTTGACTAGTTTTTAAAAGTAAAATTTTAAAAGATATTTTAAACCGTTTGCTGCATGGTTTTAAAATACCTTTTATAAAACTGTGTTTTTGAGAGAAACAAAAAATGTAAGCCGCGTAAAGGCCAAGTCGCTGGTAAATAAAGCTAAATGCTAATATAATACTAATATTATAAATACATATGAACATTGCTAAAAGCAATTTTAGTTTCTCTCACTCCATAACAAATCCTTTAAATTTAACAGTATTCAGGAAAATAATAAAAAATAGTATAGTTAAACATCAACCCAAAATGAATTCACTGCTTCTGAAACTGAAATGGACGTTGGGCTTACATAGCCTACCTCTCTTATTCAGCATGCAATCCACTTAAAAATATCTCCATATACATGATGTATTTCAATGCTAAACTAATTTTATTTTGATAATGAACAGGCTGCAATGTCAATATGCTATAACTTATATGTTGTGTGATCACTTGAATTTGTTCCTTATTAGTGGTAGACCGATATCGGTTTTTTGACAGCTGATGCTGATATCTTGGAAAGCAGGGTGGCCGATATCATTTTATTTATTTTAATTAATATTTAAGAAATTTGAAATAATTTGAAAATGGATTCATGTGAATAAATGTGTAAAATAAACATACTTATACTTTAGATGACAATGTATTTTTCACAAATAAATAAATATTTAATAAAAAATATAATTAAAAATGAAGTAAACACTGTAACCAACAGGGCACTTTGAATTCTTCTGGGAAGTTTGTGTGCATTGGGAATCTTTTTTTTTTTTTTTTTCAAATAAAGCCAAGGTAACACTCATTTTACATACAGCACACAGTGAAAATGACATGAATATGACAGTGGGCAAATGCATAAAGTGCAGCATAATTTAAAATCACAAGTTTAAAGTTTGCCAATCGCGCGTCTCCATTGAAGCTGAAATCTCCTCCTGTCAGCATTCAATTCGCACGGACCGACCGTCACTCAGAGAACATGCGATCATGCAGGATACAAATGCACACTTCACATGATCTCACAGCTGGATTCGACTAAGTCTGTAAGGTTTGCGAAATGTTCATTAGTCATTCAAAGATTTGTTTAAATTATGTATACGTAAATGCATATTTGCTGAATGATAACTGCAAACGAGAAAGTATTATGTTTGCCTTTCTATTACTAATAATATAAAAGCAATCGTTATAATAATTTTTTGTATACAATTTAATTCCTTTCTTTAACAGTTCTATCTGATTATTATACAGACTTCTATCCATATTAGACAGAACTGTTAATGACGACAGCGAACAAGAGTAATGTGAGCGCCGTCAAAATAAAAGTCCCACCTCGAATGCATCGGCCAAACAGGAAAAACTTATCGGCCGATGCCGATATTTGGAAAAATGCCATATATCGGCCGATATATCGGCCTTGGCGATATTGATATATCGTTCGACCACTATTCCTTATGACAGCAGAAACAAAGATAAGAGTAAGACATCATTATGAAACTATAAAGGGTCTACTTTTATTTGTGCACAGTAGGGCTGTGCGATTAATCGAAATCGAATCGCAATCGCGATTTGAGACATTGCGATTTGCTAATCGCAAAGCATGCGATGTGGACACGATATTACTCTGTTCCAGAGCATATGCATGACTGCCAAAAAAAAAAAAAGAAAGTGGGAGAGAGACAGAGTGGGATTATGGCATCTACAGGGTCAGATCGATAGTTAGGCAAATTAAAACTAAAGAAAAACGTATGTAACTTAAGCTTCTAAATGACAGACAACGAACAAAAAAAGGTACACAACGCATATCAAGAGCTCCCTTATCTATATAAAAGAATACAAGATTCATTCTTAAATGTTTTTGTTAGTAGGCCTACATGAACGTTATCTTACACATTTTATCTCCCCAACAGATTAATTTGAAATAAGTTTATAATGCATGTTCGCTATTCCCAATTCAGAAGACCGCACACAGCCTGTGTTCTGTGAATGCTTCTCATACTTACTCCTCTCTGCCCCACGCGGCGCGAATCCCGCATCATGGACGAGCCGTTCACACTTGCCGCACTCACGCAGCCTGTTTCGTAATGCTCGTTTATACTCGCACCCGGCTCCGCACCACAAATCTCTACGAGCGCATCTGGCATTATGGATGAGGCTTGACGCACGCGCGCAACCTGTGTCGACTCGCGCCTGGCTCCGCGTTTAAAACAAGTGTAAATTCAGTCTAACTGCTTGCTAATTTTACTTGGATGAAATTAAACATTCAGCACATTTTCCACTTGTTCTTAAAATCCCAAATACTTAAAAATGAATAAATCAGCCTATGTAACAAATTTAAATAATTGACTAAATAAATACAGTTCTTTATTTATAAAAAATAAACAAATCTTTCCAGTGAAATTCAGTAATTAGGCTAAGTTAATTCTGTAAAAGTAGTTATACCATTATAATCTTGCCTGCTGAAAAAAAAACAATAGAACCCCTCCCAAAACACAATAAAAAATGTAATGGATTTCAGGGTTATAATGGGAATTATATTGGTTTTAATGCAAACTATAATGGTGTCGGGGGGCACAAATTCTTTCTGGACCTGAGTTGACCCTAATATTCTTTACTATATGCACCCAAATAAAAACATTTGACTTCAGAAATACAGACACGGTCATTATAAAAAAGGTATCAATTACATCTTTAATATATTCTTGAATGAACTACTAGATGACTTTCATGTCATTGATCCATCAATTGATGTACTGCTGTGACTAATTGACACCTTTTCCATCTGCATGTCCCAGAGAATGGCGAGGCGACGGTATCGATGAGTTTCCCTCAGCTCGTCCATTTCACCTATCGGATTTCCCAGCTCAGTGGCAAAAAACCACAAGAAGTGAGCAACTCCATCGGCTTTCTCACCAGCACGCAGCAGAGCATGAAGCTACGCCTCATGCCCCCAAAGCCTGGCACGTATGAGCTCGAGCTTTTTGCTCGAGCTGGAAACACACCCAAAACATTCAACTGGATCTGTTCCTTCCAGCTAAAATGTACATCACCCAAGACTTCAGAAGAGCTTCCCGAGAATCCCCACACGTGCTGGGGCCTGCAACCAGATGCGATGAGTTTAGGACTCGAGCCTTGCAATTATGGGAATGACATCATTTCACTAGAGTCTGGATCGTTTAGGTTAGTCTTAAAGACTACTAGACCACTTATGGTGTTGTGTGAACTGAGCCATAAGAACCTGGATAAGACTTTAGCTGAGAAATGCTTGGCCATTCAGCCTGAGCCCGACCAACTCACATGTAGCGTTCTCTGTCCTTACTATGGTTACTACCATCTGTCTGTGTTTGTAAGGGACTGGGCGAATGAAGCAGACAGCTTCGAGAATGCAGGCAACTTTCTTCTTCACTGCACAGCTGGTGCCGTCAACCTGAATGAGCTTTTTCCCAGTGGCCTCAGCAGTTCCTGCGGTCCTGGTATCACGACTCTGGAGGCCGGCCTCTTCGAGTTCAGCCATACAGAAGCTCTGGTTTACACACAGCAAGGAAAGTGCGACATCACCTTCCAAAACCGTCAAGATATAGATCTCCTCTGCAAATTAACTAAAGAACAGGGCGATCAACCAGCAAGTCAAACCACCCTTTCAAACCACGTCCTCTTCACTCACAATGGGAGCAAAGTCACCATAAGCATCAACCTACCTGAGTCTGGAGTCTACAAGCTTGGCCTCTATGGAAAAACATCATTAAAACAAGGATACCCCCTGCTGTGTGATTACATCCTGAAGAACACCTCTATCAACAAGTGGCCTCCATTTCCACGCATGTACGGATCCTGGAAGAAGGGCAGTGTGCTGTTTGAACCTCGCGCAGGGCAGCTAGAGGCCTCGTCCTGGGTGAAATTTCGTGTACAAGTCCCAGGGGCCCGAAGAGTGAGTGTGGAAGGAGATCAGAGTGTGGATCTCCAGCTCAGTGAGAGTGGGGTTTGGGAAGGGAAGGCGTTTACAGGCAGAGGACCAGAGCTCCACCTTGCTGCCAGCCTAAACGAGGCCTCCAATAATACGATGACCTTCCTGATGGCCTTCAGTGTGGTGGAACCAGAACATGAGAAAGGATCTACAGCTCATATGCATTAATACCAAAAGCATCTATGAGGCTAGGCTATGTCATGAAGCCCTATTGTGACTATAGTTGTGTCCCTAATGGCACACTATACACTCTGCATTTACACTATGCACCATCTAGAGTATGAATTTTATGAAGGTTATTTTGTCATCCAGTTTTGGAGTCTGATAGACCCTCCCCTCGGCTACGTAATTAAAGCTGTGACAGTGCAATGCATGACGTTTCCAGTATTCCATACTTCATTTTGTTTCAGTTAATTAAGTGCATCATCCTGGTTTTTGAAGTGCACCATTTCTTTTTGAAATTTTAAGAGTGAACATACACTATTTATGCTATTAAATGGTTTAGAATGTTGCATAAGTAACCGCGACTAAGGGTGTGCAATATTTATCACCTGTGATAATATCATAATTGTTGTTTTAGCAATATGCAAGCTGACATTATCAAGTACGTCACTCGCTTTGCAAAAGACAAACAAAAACGTGTAGAGCATCCAAAAGCATTCACTGCGTGATGAAGCCTATTAGAATACAGTTAAAATGACCCTATAATTCAAGTTGCAAAAAATATCCATGTATGGGTTTTTGTTTTAATATTTAGTTACGTAATATCACACAAGCAACAGCTGTTTTCCTAAATATAAGAGCGTGAGTGTGATCGCAAAGGTGATACAAACAAACAAGTTAATACTGAGTGAGTTACATTTTAGACACAATATTGTCTGTTGTTGTTGTTGTTGTTGTTTTGTTTTTTTCACCAACAAAAATAGCTCCAATCAAAGCTGGGGTAGAATATTTGTGCATCTCAGAGAAACACTGCAGTGTTTAATTCCTGAATGAATCTTTTTTACGAACAAATCATTTGAGGGAATGATTCAATGATCCTTTTATAAAGACAGTCCCTTGATTTGTTTCTAAATGAATCAGCCGTTTTGAATGAATCGTCTGAATGAATGATTCAATAAATCACTCATAAAGACAGGGACTTGCCGCCACCTGCTGGTAGTTTTAGTGGCATATTTATTTATCCATACCACACTCTGCAAAATACCCTTGAATTATCAATAATAATTTTTTTTAAAAGTCAATATTGTACACCCCTAACTAGGAAATACTTTATATACAGCACAGCTTCTCATATCTTATTTCTTTAATAAAATAGACAGCACATTAAAACACAATTTTTTATGAAAAGGGAACAATCTGCTGTACACTGAAGCAAATTCAAAAAAGTTTTGAGTAAAAGAAGATTCAAAAGGTTATAAGAATCTTTGATATAGTGGTTGTTTGTGCATTTTACATATCATAAATAAATACTATAAACATCATAACTGTAATAAAAGTAATCAAATAAAATCATAACTGTTTTTATTATTATTTTATATTGCTGTACTGTATATGCTACTAATTGGGGGTATTTTGGGCAATTAAAAAGATATTTATATAAGAATTCTATTGGAGCAAATGTATACCTAACTGGCAGTATTTTATATAAATATATATTTAAGTAGACACAGCTGAATAAAACTCTGCTTTAATTAAGTAGACATATGTGATTGCACTCATGCTGCCTTCAGGAAGCTTCTGCTTTGGGGAGTCATTATTACAAATTGTCAGCCTCATTTCAGTTGGACAGAATATGCAATATGAATGAAAATGTATGCATGATATTTAAGGGATAATGTATTTGCATAATGCCAAACAAACAGGGTAACTTTAATTCATAAATTAAAAACATGGAAGAGGTATATTTAAATCATTATGAAATGCTTTTTAATGTGTGTTTTTATTGAATGTATTTTTGAGTAACATAATAGATACTAGAAAAATAATATTACATCATTGACCCTTGAACTAACATGCATTCCAGCAGCACTGTTCACTCTTCAACTCGTTGCTTTGAAACTTTCACCGTTGTTGCACTTACAAGATGCTATAAAGTAAAGGAATGCTAACTTAGACCGTAGCAAGAATCAAAAAGCTAATGTGATTTTTTTTCATGTACTCTTCCTAAGAACAGTGCTGCATCCCACATTAATGAAACACTTGAACTAATGCACCTCATGAACTGAGCATAAGCCTGAAGCTCTGGGTTTAGCGTAGGTGTGATTGGTCTGATCTAGCGGACATTCACTCTCTGGACAAGCTGATAGGCACCATTAAAACTATCAGTTATTTGCACCATCAAAACTGAGAGCCCTCCATGCACACATGACTCTGAGGAGACTGGCATCTTGGTGTGTGTATTATATACTGTATTTTTATAGCTAACTAACCTACTGTGAACACTGGATAATTTTCCAGAGATAAATCCAAGTGACACAGTTCACAAGCTGTATTACTGATGTCTTTCTTTTCTTTCAGTTTCTTTATTTTCCATTAAATGAGGCCGGATGCATTTCAGTAAGTTGTACTGTATCTGTAAACACCTTCTGATGTTCATTCATGTTTATTTCATGCTATAACTTGTATTAAAGTGGAAGAGAATCGTGCTTCGTGCTGCCGCTTAAACTGAAGCTGCTACAGTGATCTGTCGCACCACATTTAAGAGCATCAAAATGGCATTTATCAACAAGAATGATGGAGTTACATAGACTTGCTGTGGTAGACGGTGTTACACGGTGTTTGGTCGAACACCGATTACAATACTTGTCCACGGCAGCACCACCCCCACTGTTGTGTTGCTTTTTTATAAAAATAAAAAATCATTTAGTTCAGATGGAAAACGTACACTAAAATTCTGAACTGAAAGCATCTGCTCTGTTTCTGCGGGAGTCAGATTTGACTGATCACGGGTCAAGAGCAAGGAGAGATGACTGACAAGACCATGCTGGAGGATTTGCTGCTCAACAGATCCTGAGCTCATTGACAAATATCTTATCTGGTAAAACGTACTCCCTTTACACAGAGTACACGTGATCGAAATCGAAAGTGAACAGCGAGCGCTCATTCAAAATCCATTTCAGTCCACCGCATATTGATAGCGGCACCCTGATGCATTAAAATACGATATTAGAATGTTTGCAGGGCGGGAGTGGGCTCAAAAATCAAGGGAGCGGAACACACATTGCAGGAGCACGCAATAATGATCAGAAATTTATCAGGAACGGAAGCAGGATAAAATGGTGCATTCACACGAGGCATTGGCGTTAACTCTTCTCATTTACTTTAAATGGGTGACGTCATTCATTGCCGAGCTGAATTGTGGATCTGTTGGGTCGCACCACTGAGGTTGCTCGCGGCAGAAGATGAAAAACCTTCAACTTTTCAAGCGCCAACGCAGGCGTCAGCCAATCAGATCGCCTTAAGCAAACACCCTAGCACAGCCCAGGTGAAAAAAAATGTGCACTTCCGTAATGTAGCCTACTTTAAGTGCTCTGTTTTTTCACACTAATTTTGTACTTAATATACAAAAAATTATTCTTTAGTAATTAAGATATCTAAGTGTACTCAACTATGCTATTTTGAGATACCCTGAATATGAACTAAAATGTGCTTTTGACATACTATCTCTGTATTAAAAATGTATTTAGTTACCACTTGTAGTACATTTGAGTGTACTAGTGTATGAAAGATGGGTTCAAGAGTACAACAAGTGGTAACTAAATTAAAAAAAAATTGTACTGTAAGAAAACAGTCCTGCTCAGTTCTCTAAGCGTCAAATAGAACCTGCGTTAATGGCACTGCCTTAATGCGTTATTATTGATTTAACTTGGACAGCCCTAAATTCAACACAAGAAACATTCGCTTCACACAAGTTGCGCCCCTTTTGATTGAATTTATTTATAGGACATTTTTATATTTTGCCTGTTTTCAAACTACATAAACACTACTTTTCTGTAATCTCTGTGCCTATCCGAAAACAGGAAAAAAATCTGCAAAGGCCTGAAAGCGAATGATTGACAGTGATATCCGTGGGTAGAGATGCTGCTAGAGAGGTTTTTTAATATTATCCATGCAAAACACAGTTTGGCTCGTTCATTTGCTGCCTGCGGGCACTGATATAGAAAAGCACTGATCACCAGAGGCGGACAGTAACTAAGTACATTTACTTAAGTATTGTACTTAAGTACACTTTTTGAGTATCGGTACTTTACTTGAGTATTATTTTTTCTGGGAACTTATGACTTTAACTTCACTACATTTGAAAGACAAATAGCCTATTGTACTTTTCACTCCACTACATTTCTATCAAGTTCCTCGAAGTAGAAAGTCGTTACTATGTAGCAGCTTTGAAAGTCAGTGGGTGATTTTTTTTCTTCTCTAAAATGTGACTTTCTTTTTTTTTTCAGACAATTTATCAGTAATCACTTTTGGGGCTACATTAAGTGATTTCCCAGCATTTTTTGAGCACTGACCAGTTGCAAATGTGATATTTATTTATAACAATTCAATAATAAGAAGTTAATATTGTGGTTTATATTAGACACAATATTGTCTGATTTTGCTAAATTGTGTAAGTGAAAATATTACCTATAAAGCCACAGAAGAACTGTTGTGCATCTTCTAATAAAACACAAGTACCATGACAGCGATTAGACAGCATTTTTAAAATGTTTGTTTTGATGTCAAATAAGCCTTGCTGTTTTGCTTTTTTGTTAAAGCAGTGTTTCTGTTGTAAAGTTATACAGCTACAGTTGTGTTGCTGGGTTTTAAAGCAGGTTTGATTTTTTTTTGGTTTAAGCACTATAAGAAGGCAACAGGTAAGTTCACCTGTCTTCAACAAAAATGGACGGTGTCAGAGGAAGAGGGAGAGTGCGGATGAGAGGGGGAATCCGGAGACAACAAGGTAGAGGAAGAGGGAGAGGGAGAGAGAGAGGAATATCTGGAGGAGGGGTAGGACATGCACAAAGAAGAAGACAACCAAATCTGTGTAACGAAATTCGTGCTACAATTGTGGACCATGTAATAAACCACGGACTAACACTGAGGGAGGCTGGACTGAGAGTACAGCCTAACCTAAGCAGGTACACGGTGGCATCAATAGTTCGGACATTTCGTCAAGAGCACAG